AATCGTACTCGGTGTCAGCATCGTTTTGTGGTGACCCCGTAAATGTATCCTAGAAGGGGAGAGAAGTTTGGAAAAGTCAGTTCCTAAATCACCCTTAAGTATACGGTATGCTAAAATTAAGTCACCTCTCTTCCTTCGGTATGATAACGGGAAGAGATTTAAATGCTCCATCCTCATATCATAAGGAAGGTGTGAGATACCACTAACTAATTTCGTTCCTACTCTCTGTACTTTTTCCGGGATATGTGCCTCCTTTTTGAAGCATGGACTCGCCGATTGTATGCAGTATTCTAGATGAGGCCTGACATATGTTTCGTAGAGTATTTGCCCTCGTCTAATCGTTTGAAAGCCCTTCGAAGTGCCCATAGCATTTGAAAAGCCTTAGTTGCGGCTGCATTACTATTTGCAGTTGTTTTCAAATCATTGCTGACAATGATTCCTAGGTCCTTCTGTTCGTTAACATCAGATAGTCCTGTGTCCCCTAGGGAGTACGACTTCTAACCTACGTGCATTACCGCGCTTTTCCTAGAATTCATTTCCAAACTCCACAGGTTCGACCACTCAGCTAATTTATCTAGATCAGTTTGTAGGGCCGACCTATCCTAGTTATTATTTACAGTTTTCCAGATCTTAATGTCGTCCGCAAATAATAATGAAGATGAAGAAACCCCGGTAGCTCATTAGAGTATAATAGGAATAGTCAGGGGCCTAATACATTTCCCTGAGGCACTCCACTGGGTACTGCTTTCCACCCTGATAGTACACCGTTAACTCTAACCTCCTGCCGTCTGTCCATTAAGTAATCCCTGAACCACTCACGTAGGCATTGCTCTTGTTCGGCTGGCTGAAAATACGTAATAGATAAGACGCAAATCGCTCTAATTCATAACTCACTTCCAAGCCACTTTCACCATTCAGTTTTACATTTATTTTTTATTTTATTTTTTAATTTTTGATTACAGCTTGATGCCACACCGTATTTTCAGTACAAGTATGACATTTTCAGCATGGATATCGGTAGCCCAAATTTTGCAGGCCGACCATAGATATCGGGTGTGAGCCGGCAGAGGATCGAACCCTAGACCATGTGCATGGTCGGCGAGAGTCCTAACCGCTGTGCCACCGACGCACTATATGGATATATATATGCCTAATTCCGTTTGTATACTTTTTATTTCTGCTCTTTCTTTTCCATAATAGCCTCCCTGTCCTTGTGCCAGAGTTTCTCTTCTGCTGCAAGTTGGATTTTCCCTAGCAGTAGCCGAACAAGAATTGAAGTTCGAGCATAGAGACCTGCATTGGGGAATGTTTTGCTCGATGAAAGTTGTGTATCCCCTCCTGTAAATAAGTCAACAATGTCCTCTTTATCGTCGACGTCATTATTTTCTTCCTCCTCGCGCTCCGTCTCCTCATTGTCTACATCTTTAAAAGATGTAAATATTGTCCAAATAAGAAGAATATTTACACGAATATTGTTCTTATTTGGACAATATTTGCAAGAATCTTTTAAAGATGTACACAATGAGGAGACGGAGCGTGAGAAGGAGGAGGAAGAAAATAATGACGTCGACGATAAAGAGGACATTGTTGACTTATTTACAGGAGGGGATACACAACTTTCATCGAGCAAAACATTCCCCAATGCAGGTCTCTATGCTCGAACTTCAATTCTTGTTCGGCTACTGCTAGGGAAAATCCAACTTGCAGCAGAAGAGAAACTCTGGCACAAGGACAGGGAGGCTATTATAGAAAAGAAAGAACAGAAATAAAAAGTATACAAACGGAATTAGGCATATATATCCATATAGTGCGTCGGTGGCACAGCGGTTAGGACTCTCGCCGACCATGCACATGGTCTAGGGTTCGATCCTCTGCCGGTGCACACCCGATATCTATGGTCGGCCTGCAAAATTTGGGCTACCGATATCCATGCTGAAAATGTCATACTTGTACTGAAAATATGGTGTGGCATCAAGCTGTAATCAAAAATTAAAAAATAAAATAAAAAATAAATGCAAAACTGAATGGTGAAAGTGGCTTGGAAGTGAGTTATGAATTAGAGCGATTTGCGTCTTATCTATTACGTATTTTCAGCCAGCCGAACAAGAGCAATGCCTACGTGAGTGGTTCAGGGATTACTTAATGGACAGACGGCAGGAGGTTAGAGTTAACGGTGTACTATCAGGGTGGAAAGCAGTACCCAGTGGAGTGCCTCAGGGAACTGTATTAGGCCCCTGACTATTCCTATTATACTCTAATGAGCTACCGGGGTTTCTTCATCTTCATTATTATTTGCGGACGACATTAAGATCTGGAAAACTGTAAATAATAACTAGGATAGGTCGGCCCTACAAACTGATCTAGATAAATTAGCTGAGTGGTCGAACCTGTGGAGTTTGGAAATGAATTCTAGGAAAAGCGCGGTAATGCACGTAGGTTAGAAGTCGTACTCCCTAGGGGACACAGGACTATCTGATGTTAACGAACAGAAGGACCTAGGAATCATTGTCAGCAATGATTTGAAAACAACTGCAAATAGTAATGCAGCCGCAACTAAGGCTTTTCAAATGCTATGGGCACTTCGAAGGGCTTTCAAACGATTAGACGAGGGCAAATACTCTACGAAACATATGTCAGGCCTCATCTAGAATACTGCATACAATCGGCGAGTCCATGCTTCAAAAAGGAGGCACATATCCCGGAAAAAGTACAGAGAGTACGAACGAAATTAGTTAGTGGTATCTCACACCTTCCTTATGATATGAGGATGGAGCATTTAAATCTCTTCCCGTTATCATACCGAAGGAAGAGAGGCGACTTAATTTTAGCATACCGCATACTTAAGGGTGATTTAGGAACTGACCTTTTCAAACTTCTCTCCCCTTCTAGGATACATTTACGGGGTCACCACAAAACGATGCTGACACCGAGTACGATTAAAATACGTGCAGAATTTAGATTCACTCACAGAGTGGTCAACGACTGGAGCTCCTTACCTGAATCAGTGGCGTCACCTTCATCTGTGAACGCTTCCAAAGGGAAGTTAGATCTCTGCAGAGATATATTTTGCCAGGATTAACACAGGCCACAAGGGCCTTCTTTCCTAATCATCTGAATTTGAAGTTAACTGGTTTCTAGCATATCCTAAATAAACCTGACTAATTGGCCCCACCACTTATAATGTACCAAAGCTGAAGGGATTTATTAGCTGGCTCAAATTGGATACTAGTAATTGGTACGACATGTTTGGTGCTGAATGCCTAGTTTCAGAACTTCTAAATTAAATCCAAACACGAAACTATTACAGTAGTAGTATATTATAGTATATTAGTCGGAGTCTCATATCGTTCACAAGACTGCTGGTTACAGTGATCCTGAAACATATTCCATCCACTCCCATGTTTAGGATGCGGGCCAAGACAACCAATAACCTGTAAAACAGTGAACGAAACAAAAACAGCTAATGAATGACGGATGGGCAGGAGGTATGAATAGTAAAGAGAGAAAGTTGGCAATTAATGCTTGAGAGCCGGTAAGAAAAATTCACTGTAATATATTCCTGTGAATTTTTCTTACCGGCTCTCAAGCATTAATTGCCAACTTTCTCTCTTTACTGTTCATACCTCCTGCCCCTCCGTCATTCATTAGCTGTTTTTTTTTCGTTCACTGTTTTACAGCTTATTGGTTGTCTTGGCCCGCATCCTAAACATGGGAGTGGATGGAATATGTTTCAGGATCACTGTAACCAGCAGTCTTGTGAACGATATGAGACTCCGACTAATATACTATAATGCACCCAGTTTTTCACGTTCTACGGCCAAACACGAACAACTCTGCGTTAAATGCACGAGCGAAGACGTGGAAAATGCATACTGAGCAAAACCCACCTTCGAAGCACGCGAAGTAAACACACACAGGCGTGCGTGACCGCTCAAAGTATACATAAAACAATGGAAGACGAATGTTCAATTATTCCATAAGCATACATAAGGTTAGTTTCTGCGTTAGTATAATGTGGTGAATTGGTTTTACAAGCATTCAATTAGAGTTAGTTAATTTAAGAGCATTAAGTGTTTTCCCCCCACCAGAGCACTGAAATGTGAACTAACCAATGCAAGTGTTCGAGAATATGCGATGTTTGCCTGATGCATACGGAACTCTGTGTGTATTAAGATGGGAAATATGGAATTAATTCCCTAGTTATAATATTCATAATAATGGCAGGAAGAAGAAGAGAATTGCTAGTTAGCAGTAATAGCAATGATAACAACAATAGAAACGATGATTTTCTCTTTCATAATACAGTACTTTTTATGGTGAAGTGTGGAGTTCTCTGAATTTGGTATAATATTCTATCCGATGTATTCACTCGGAAGCAGCAAAACCGAAAGTATTTACATTACAGGGTTTTGGTAGCTGGAATCGATAATAGTAGCCTATTGGTATTAGTGTGCGTCGGTGGCATAGTGGTTAGGACGCTCGCCGACCATGCATATGATCCGGGGTTCGATCCCCGGCCGACGCACTCCTTTACCTCGCTATGCCAGAAATAATGCTGGTGAAGAGGAGAGGTTGGACATGAGGCTAGCAACCCCATCCTGTAAAATAAACACTGCTACAGAAACTCCAAGCCACTAGCTTGAAGCCCTAAGTTGCACTGGGGAACGTGAAGGAAAAAAAATTGGTATTTGTAGTTGGAAAATGGTCAAAAGTGTAAAATAATAATGACGATGATGGTGTTGATAATATCAATAGCTAAGATTATTGGATGATTGTAAATAGTGTCAGCATAAAGTACAAATAGGAGAAGATTGAAGAGCAATGTGTTTTGCTTTCTAGGTGTGTCAGCTGTCATTCATTCAAGGTGCAAACTGACGCAATCAGTTCTACTCTTCGTTTGCTGAATGCTGTCGTTGGCCGATGCTTGGCGAGATGGATGACTCATAAGGGGACTGTGGGTAAGATTGGCGTTCGTGATTACACATTTTTGCAACTTATAGTTCGCATGTAAACTTTTCATCAACACAGCGTTGTACACTAACAACATATTCGGATGTCATAGTTGGTAAACAATTCGAACTGGGGAACACCGAAGTGATAGTCAAAGTCACCAAAAATTGGTGTCATAATCAACGACCTCGGAAAAGAAATGAGTACTCATCAGAAGAGGTAGTTTTTATGAACAAATGTTCAACTGTTTTCATTACTTCATTGTTATTTCAACGTATTCAACTGTTTCCCTGATTCCTCTGTTACAGGTGCCCTGCAACGTCAGCCAACCTAGTCAGTCCCAGTCAATCACGATCCCCGAAATAATATATGAAATCGATATTGTTGACTTTCTTTACCTGTAACTGTTTTGACGAGAGTAATATTCAATTGTATGAAATGTATTATTGCCACACTGCACTAGCCTTGTTTTATATCAGTGGAATACAGAGTTGTAAAGATCTTAGAATCTAAGATGAGTATTCATTGCGCTCGTAAATGTGGGAGAATTCAGTTTATTCGCTAACAGTTGAGGTCGAAGGTTGGTGAGCCGTTCGTTTGATCAGTGGGAAACCGGGTGAAAATATTGGAAGTGATTGAAAACTTGGGTGATTTGTTCGTCCGAGAGGTGAGATAAATGGGCGAAAACGTTGGAATAGACGTGGAATAAATGGGGAGAGTGGCTAATTACTCACTTCTGGAGGTGGGAGATATGGGTGAGAGTGTGGTGTGTGTGGGCGAAGTGGGTAGATTCTGCTGCGCATTTCGCTCACGTCTTCGCCGATCGAAATCGCCCATTCAGCCCAGCCGAGATTTTACCTGCTTTGCCCCTATATGCATTCTCTGACAGCCAGGAGGAGATGAAAAAGAGCCAATTATTTTCCGGTTATATAGTAGGTTGTTAGTCTCACGCCGTACACCACCTCTATGACAAAGGAAGGGGGCGGTCCGAATACGGTGTAGTGGAGATTGTGTACTTGGTTGTGCGAGAATATAATCCCTCACAATGACTTGTAGTCCCACGTGGTAAGATTAGAGTTGTGAATGAAGAGGGTGCTGAGACTTAGAGAATGTGTGTTTGAACCACTTCTCACATGAGTTCAGGTGTCTGTCAACTACAATAATAACGAGCTGACTTGGTGGCACACCACCTGGCCTAAATACAACCCTTCACACAGTTGGTGATATGATATAGTCTTTTTTGAGTAGCCCAGGTAAGACTAAGGGGGAACAGTGAAGTACAGTAGGTGAGATTCAAGGGTCAAGAAACTGTGAGTGTTGAGGTTGACTGATTCTTACCTTCTTCAGGCAGCAGGTTGGATGGGACATTTTCCTTGAAATCGGTAAGATACGGGATGATCGAGGAAGGACAGGGGATAGAACTATTCCGAAATATTTTATGCTCGACTTAGTTCCCATTTCCATGACCTCGATGCTGTGCTACAAGCATCATGTGGACGGACCAGTTCGTGTGAACGACGTTTGTGCCTGAAGTTGAAGCAAACTGTCTGATGTTTAGAAGTATTTAAGGTGAGACCATTTAGCTTAGATCATCACCGCTGCCTTATATCCGACAAAAGGCTATTAAGATTGGAACGAGCCAAGTGAGACGTAACAGATTTGAAAGGTCATCCAGCGAGGGATCTGCAGTCGTTAGTTGAAAGTCATAGGTGATTAGTAGACAGTATATGATTGAAGGTAACAGTGTAGGGAGGAGTAGAGGAGCATGATTATGATATAAACTAGATGAACTCCACACCAGAGGACGGCGGCAGCGAGTTTGAGAAGCCGTAACTTATGATGAATGATCAGACTGAAGTGGTCGGGGGAGATGTGACAAACGCAGTGAAGGATTTAAAAGGTGAAGGGTATGTTTCACCAAAAGCACACGGAAACCTAACTCTCAGGGGGGACAGCGTTTCACACAAGTACGGTTGTCTGCCGAAAGAGCATAAATCAGGAGTTCCCTCATGTCCCATATGAGACATGTGTCAATCACTTGGTCACCAGACGTCAAAGTGGCGGATACAGCCAATTCAACCCTTGCATGACCAGTTAGTGAAGCGTAGTGTCACGATCGCCCTCCAGTTTATTGAGTGGCCATGGGATCCTGACTAGGACCTATTTTCGCTAACTTATTTCTAGCAAAACCAGAGAACAGTCCGCTGAAAGATGAGATAGCAAGAATAGGAATGAATTGTCGTTACATGGATGGATGACACTCTTGTTGTGTGCGATGAAGGGTTACGTACACGTGATTTGATTGTGAGCCACTTCAACAGTACTCACCCAACGGTCCATTTCACCTGCGAAGGAGAATACAACGACACCCTGCTGCAGTTCCTCGTCGTCTTACTAACGAAGGAGAGATTCTATCGCAATGTTTAGCCAAAGCGATAAAGAAAACCCTACTCTTCGCATCTCTTCATATCCTTCAGTAGCCGTCCAGTGTTCACCCAGAAACGGAAAGACGCCTTAAGCTCTTCTTCGCGTGTATACCTTCCCAGGGGCAGTAGTTCTCCTGATGTTCAGGAAATTGTCGAAAAATATAGCCGAAAAGCCTGCACCAGAAATCTTAGCCAAGAATGGCGGTTATAATAGATAAATTAATGAATTTATTCTCATAGTACAGTACATGAGGGACGTCATATAATTCAATCACAATTTACAGGCGGTAGCAAGATATGCTTTACATGTTCGCTGGAGATTACACATACACTTGATAAATGTTACTCCCAGTAGTATAAAACAGCCTTTCCACTTATATACAATCATTTCTGTGCACAGTTGGAAAAATTTGCTAGATTATCAGTGAGTGCAACACATCAGGAAATACAGGAGTATTGTCTTCGCATTAACAGAAAAACCAGGTCTTTGGTGGATGGATTATAAGTGCCTGGGAAAAAAATAAAGCTTGAAGTCAACTTTCATATATAACTTTGTTGTGTACAGAATCCTTGAATTATAGTTCATTGGTGTGTTATTTTGAAATCAGTGATCTGCAATGTCATTGTTGGGAGTAAATATACAAAAGCTTTGGACGCATTGATTAATGGATTTCTACTGCTCGTGGGTATTTTCTTAGCGTGAGGAAGGTTTATGAATTTCAGCTGTTCCGACAGGAGTTGAGAATATTAACTGCTGAGCAATATTATGGATATAAGTTCATCACGTTATCTTAGGAAAGGTGGGTTGTAGTTGGTGAGGTAAATATGGTGCCCAACGAGCGTACATCTATCCATGTGATGTTGTGGTGAGTTATACCTTTTTCATGTTGTCGGTTTATGTCCATTTCATTTCACTTATTGTGTTGAGTAGAAGTTTTACAAACGAAATTTCTTGTCTGTTCGAGGGTACGTATCTTAACCGTTAATGTTTTATCTAGAATTATAAATATAGGCAAAAAACAACATGTGTAGTATTTAAGCTTATACATTAAATGGGCCTATAATTTCGGAGGCTCTCAGATAGGAACTAGAACTACTATCGTTTGCAAACTCTTGTAGTTTGTCATTAAGCACCTTTTCGAAGGAGGCCAATGTACCTGCTTGACGCATTTCCATTGGTAGTTTATTCCGTATCTGTGCGTACCTAATCAAGTAAAACTTTTGCCTGTTGGCTGTTTTACATTGTTCGACAGCTACTGTATCCTTAGTGTGTCTTAGCTTGTAGCCATTGTCATCTGAAAGTCGAGTGCCATTAGTAGAGGTAAAAACTAAGTGGTTTAGAAGCCTATAGTAGAGTGTTAAGTTTAGTCTCAGGCGTCTTAGCCATAGTGTTTCTAGTCCTAGGGTATCACATCTAGTGGAGTAGTTCGCACCATTTTCGGGTTCCGAGTAATTTTAACGTGAAGTACCTCTGCACTCCCTCGACTTTCAATTTGTCCTCTATGCGTATACTACTATACACGAATGAACAGTAATCAAATAAAGGATGCACACAAACCTTGTACAACAGAATTCTAGACTCATTTCTGTAGAAGTTCCTGAGTAGAAAGCCGATAAGTCTGCGTGACTTTGACACTTGTTTGGAGATATGTTCAGAAAATGATAAGCCGTGTGAATATTTCAGCCCTAGGTCCAGTACAGATTCCAGTCGTAGAAGTGCATGGCCTTGAATTGTCAGGTCAAGTTCTAAGTTGTTGCAACCTATGCAGAGCCAGCCACCTTTTTCGACATTAAATTGGAGATTCCAGGTGTCACACCATCTATCCATTTTTTCTAATTCTTGCTGTATGGCGTTTACTGTTATTCCAAGATCTGTGTTCTTGCATTTATACGTCACTTTTAAGTCATCTGCATAAAGTATTGGTTTACCTACACTAAAGCATTCACAGATATTGTTTATATATACATTATGAATAGGAGTGGGCCTAATACACTTCCCTGGATTACACCACTACTTACTGGTTTAGGCCTTGAGATTATCGAGCCAACTTTCCTTGTCTGACTTCGGCCACAGAGAAATGATTTTATCTAGCTCAGGAGAGGGTCACATATCCCTAGTGAGCATAACCTGCTGACTAGCAGATTATGGGGAACTCTGTGGAAGGCTTTTGTTACATCGAAATATAGCACAATTACTAGTTCTCTGTTGTCCCTACTTCGTGTAACTTCGTTGAAAAAGTCTATGTGACAGGTCACACATGATCTCTTTTTGAGGAATCCGTGTTGTGATGGATTGATAAGTTCATGTTCTAGTAGGTTGTCTGACACTTGGTCTTTAACCACTTTCTCCATTATTCGTGATATTACCGGTGTTATATTGATAGGTCTATAGTTGCATGCACTGGTTTTGGCCCCTGCTTTGTGCTTAGGTAATATGTATGTGGTTCTCCACACTTCAGGATAAGTTCCAGTTTCCAGCGAGAGAGTAAATATTCTAAGTAACAAGGCTACCATTTCCGTGCTACCATTTTTGTATATGACAGATGGTATGTCGTCTGTTCCAGTACTACCATTAGACTTCAATAGTCTTAATCGCTGAGTCTATATTTTGTATATTAAAGTCTTTTCGTCTAATTTGTGGTTACTTTTGCAGGTCATTTGGAAATTTGGGGTCGGGTGCACTCTGGTGTCATTGCAAAACCACTCACTGAGGAGTTCACTTATAACCTGGGGATCATTGTATATTATACCCTTATGTTGCAAGCTGCTTACATTATTGTCTTTACTGCTTTTTAGACGTTTCTGCAATATCCTACAAAGTTCCTGAGTTTTGGTGTTACCCACAAGTGCTTTTTTCTCTTCAAGTTGTGATATCACTTTGTGTTTCTCTTCAAGCAGTTTAAGAGTTTCATGTATTTGGTTTAACGCATTAAACTCCTTAAATACATGGTATTTCCTTTTCAATTTCTTTAGTTTTAGTCGCGTTTTGCGGTCTATAAATGGAGTTTGTGTGTTTAGAGCAGATTTTAGGGGCGCGATTGTATCTCTTGCTGAGCCAATTGTTTTGTAGAAAATCTCAAGTGATACTTCTAAGTTATTGTTGATGAAGTATTCTTC